TATGTATAGTTTTTTCGATTAAAGTATTAAAGGTTTTTATCGCATTATAAAAATGGAAATAAATATAGTTATAGAAATAGTTTTAAATTTATTATAAAAAATACATACTTATAAAATAAATAAAACTACATATATATTATATTTAATTATTGGGAAAATCCTTCTAATCCTTTACTTTTTTACTTCTATGGTGCTACTAATAGAAATTATGTAATTACCTACCGTGTAAAGGATTAAACAATTTTATACAAAAAGTATTTTTTAACAAAATTTAAAATATTTAATCTTTTTACAAATACTAATTATTTATTAAAATTGTTTATATAGGCTTTTATATAGGCTATTATATAGGCTATTATAAAAGCTGAGGTTTGTTATTTAGAGAAAAACTAATGTTTCATTTGTTCAGACTCAGCCCATTTTTGACTTCTATACTTATAAAGTATATTTATTATATTTTCCTTTTACAGCTGTAAGCTGAGGAAGACCATGGAACACCCCCGCAAACTCATAAACAGGCAACAGTTAAAGAAGCTTTTCAGTGGCAACAAAAATATGACAAAAACTCACCTGAGGCAAGAAAGCTGAACCTAGCTGTTGCTGAATTCATATGTATTGATAAAGTGCCCATTTATACAGTTCAAAAATGTTGATTCCAACAAATGCTCCATCATTTCAACCCAAAATACCAGCTTCCAAGTCGAAACTTTTTTATGTAAACTGAGATTCCCCGCATGTACAATGACACCAGAGACCTTATAATCCAGCATCTCAGTGACAAATCATTTTACAGCTGCACAACAGATCTTTGGATAAGTAGAACTGCAGACACTTTCATGTCTTTAACTCTGCAGAACATTACTAAATCATGGAATTGCAATCCTGGTGTCTTGGCTGTTGTGGTCTCAACACAGACCACACTGCTGAAAGTTTGAAGGAGGCCTTTGATGAAAAACTTGAAGACTGGAAATTGGACATTGCAAGAATGTCAGGCATCACAACAGACAGTGTCGGGTGTCTGAAGGATTGTCAAGTAAAGAAGTCAGGTCATCAAAAAAATCCAAAAATCACCTAAAGTTTCTGCTTTCCACCATTCAAGGGGAAAAGAAAGAAAAAGGAGAGCCAGCATCCTCAAGTCAAGCACCTCTTTCTGCAAGTGACGAGATAAATGGTGAATTCTTGGTGTACGATCAGATGCCTGAGGTCAGTGCTGAGGATGATCCACTTATCTGATGGAAAACAAATATGGGTACTCTACCTCAACTATCAGAGTTTGCCAGGAAGTACCTTTGCATTGCTGCATCTAGCTGTTCATCTGAAAGAGTGTTCAGTACTGCAGGGTACATTGTTAGCCCAAGACGCTCAAGACTGAGTCAGGAACATGTTGATATGTTAGTGTTTCTATCAGAAAATCTGGAAATGGCAAAGAAAGTAACTTAAGGAATAACTGTGTAGACCAGTATTGATTTGGGTGAAACTTGTTTGAAAAAAATGTTGTTATTTATCTAGTTATTTAATTACTCAAATGTTTACAATCCTTGGCTTGAAATACTTAAATTATGTCGTTGTTGTTTTGTTTTTTTACATGTATAATAATATTTTAATTTACAACTTGTTGTTCAGTTATGGCATATTTTGTTTAATTTATAAAAATGTTAAAGTTTATAAATAAGAGTGATTATTCAGTCATGGCTTATTGTTTTATTATTTATCTAGTTATTTAATTACTTAAATGTTTACAATCCTTGGCTTGAAATACTTAAATTATGCCATTGTTTTTTTACATTTATAATAATATTTTAGTTTATTACTTGTTGGTCATGGCATATTTTGTTTAATTTATAAAAATTACGTTTTTTAGGTTTGTAATTTTTCATTTATTATTTGTGGAAAAAGTTGAAACACAATTTTAAACAAGTATGAAGAATGGCATTGTTTAACTTTATTAATAAAAATAGTGTGTTTTTCAGCTAGCATGTTTTTGTGTTTTGCTTTGATACAAAGAATTGTGAATTTTTTTTGGAAAATTTAGTCTAAATTAATCTTTGGTTTGGTACCGAAATTGGTACCGAGAACCGTAGATTTTTACTGGTATTGGTACCGAATACTGAAATTTTGGTACCATGATAACACTAAGAAGTATATATATATATATATATATATATATATATATATATATATATATATATATATATATATATATATACATACATACAAGGGTTGAATTAGGTCAGACATCACTGCCCCTTGGACCATTTTCGAGGCCTGTAGAAGAGGGCAACATATCATTGTTCATTTTTACAGTAAAAATGAACAATAGTTATTTGCCCCCTTAAACAGGTGTCAAAAAGAGTCTGGGGGGCTCCAATGTTTGACACTTTCAATCCCTGTATGCATATATATATATATATATATATTATATATATATATATATATATATATATATATATATATATATATATATATATATGTATATATATATATATATATATATATATATATATATATATATATATATATATATATATATATGCCAGTATTTAATATATAGTATATGTATGCATTAATCTGTAGTATATAAAGTATGATAAATATTTTTAGCCCCGCTTTCAACCCCTGCTAACTCATATTTTTTCTGGGGCAAGGTTTGTAAAAAGTTTTTAGCAGAGGCCGGGACCCCAGTCATTTAATAGTTGTGTAATTTTAGTTGTTGTAATGTCATGGTTTCACCGCGACATTACTAGCATTACAGCTATATTGATAGAAAACAATGTTTTGCCAATCATAGGCTTTTTTTTTTGAAAATAAATAATAATTAAAAGACACCATGCTGTCAAAATACATATGGGAATTTAAAGATAAAATTAATGATAAATTTTATATTGAATTAGTTCATACTTAAAACAGCGCCTGCTGTTTTTATGATGGACCAATTTTAATAAAAGTTTTAATAAAATTTCCAAAAAATGTATATTGTGCCTACAAAATAAAATTTAAATAATTGCACATTTCAGAATTGCACAAAATCAGAATTGGTTTCTAAATATAAAACTATAAAAACTATAAAAATATGTGAGCTCAAAAAATATTTATATTAAATCTCCCTTTTAAAAATATATTTTAAAAAAAAGCAGAAGTTAACGTTGCGAAATGTGTAAAAATTTACAATAGTTAAGACATTACTTAATTTTTGGTATAAATTTTATACCAAAAGTTTTATTAATTAGGTCATTCATTTCTGATGAGTTTTTATAGATGAAAATTTAAGTTATTTTTTACTAATTTATTTATGTTATATATATATATATATATATATGTATATATATATATATATATATATATATATATATATATATATATATATATATATATATATATATATATATATATATATATATATATATTAATGTGAAAATAATTAGAGTCCAGATCTCCTTATTTTATCAAGCTATTTCCTGATAGATAAAGCATGGTTTTGTACAAACTTCAAGTCTATATTGCCAAGGCACCTAAATACCTTTTTTTCTAACTCAACATGATTTTTTCCAGTTATTCTTGTAGACCTCTGTTTTCAAGTAACCCCAAAAATCTTCTATTGGACGACTTCCGGCAAATTTCCTGGATTCATGAATTTTGGTACAAAAGTTATATTCTGGTCTTCCTAAATTTTAATTACCTTGGAAGCCTAATGAATGAACGCTAAGTCAAACCAAAACATATAACCACCAGCATTATAATTTATTTTAATAAATGGGAAGGAGTTTACTCTTAAGAATTTTGCAATAAACCTCTTGGTTAATCGCGTTCCAGGCTTTTGAAAAAAAAAGTTTTGTCAATCTTTTTGGTGATGTATAGCCATACAAGCAACTTTTATGGACATTTTTCTTATATATATATATATATATATATATATATATATATATATATATATATATATATATATATATATATATATATATATATATATATATATATAAGTATGTGTGTATGTCTGTGTATGTGTATATATATATGTATTTTTATACATATATGTGTATATATATTTAAAAAAAAATTTGTATTTGTTTCAGTGACTTTTTTAAGCTTCAACTATTTTGTCAACAAAGATTTGTAACTGTGTCGCCTTATTTATACATTGAAGATTTACCGCTATTGTATAAGTAATTTTATTATATTTTATTTATTTTAAGATTTCTTATCTGTTTATTATCAAAAAATTTGAAAATTTTAAAAATGTATATATATATATATATGTATATATATATATATACATATATATATGTGTATATATATATATATATATATATATATATATATATATATATATATATATATATATATATATATATATATATATATATATATATATATATATATATATATATATATGTATATATATATATATATATATATATATATATATATATATATATATATATATATATATATATATATATATATATATATATATATATATATATATATATGTATATGTATATATATATATATGTATATATATGTATATGTATATGTATATATATATGTATATATATATATATATGTATATGTATATATATATGTATATGTATGTATGTATATATATATATATATATGTATATATATATATATATATATATATATATATATATATATATATATATATATATATATATATATATATATATATATATATATATATATATATATATATATATATATATATATATAGAATATTATAGATTCAAAAATGCTTTTATATATTTTAACAAAAAGTAAAAACATTTCTAATGATTATTTTATATCTTAATTTACTTCAAATTTTAATATACATTTTTTTAATTTATTTATAATTTTGGTTTTTTTGTTTACATATAATAGAGAGAAAAAATAAGTAGAGTATATGAGAATAAATATGTAGAATAAAACATAAAAAGAATAGAGAATATAATAAAATAGTTATGATAATATCAATTCTTTTGTTTATTTAATTAAATAATTATTTATTAAACTCGTAGAAATGAACTTTGCTATCAGTGAATTTAAAATGAATCCTTACTTTTTATGTGTGTCAAAAACTTTTTTCAAAATTGAATTTGCTATATCTGGTTCAAATTTAAAAGCAGAATCACTAAACTATGTGATTGAATGAACTGTTAACTTAGTAAATGGCGCTTGTTACCTATTAAGTCTCCCTTATTTGCACTGAAACCAATATTTTGTTAACTAGCTTATCTGCATATTCAGGCATTATTCTGCAGCCACTATATATTGTTGTTTATTGCTATGTCAAAAAATGATTTAAAAAGCAAATTTCACTGGATTTAAAAATCAGTTACTAAGTGAAAGTTACAAATTGTTAGTACATTTAAAACACCATCATCTCAACCTAAATATCTGACATCTTAACTACCAGAATCTATACCAGTACCAGTAACTACACTATCTCAGTCACTTGAATCTAAACTAACAACATCTAGCATACCTAGTATAGCATCAGCTCTAAAATAAACATTAATATCATCTTGCATGCAACCAACTTGCAATATAACTTGTGGCCATGGTGCAGTGGTTTGAGCGCTTGCTTTAGAAGCAGGAGATCCAGGTTCGAAATGAGCTCTGGATCTCCTCTTTTTTTGCATTATGGTTAGGAAAGAGGTGTGAACTTCCTGGTTGAATGCACATCTGGGTGCTCTGTGGCAAGACTGTTAGGTCTTCTTGGGGCATATTAATAACGGGGGCATATTAATAATATTAATAATATATATAAATAAAAATATATATATATCAGAGTTATCAGATTTTATTTGAATAAAATTTAAAAAGAAGTTAAATAAATGCCATTGACCCAATTACTTTCAATTTTGTTTCTCATTTAATTTATTTACACAAAAAATAATTTAGGCTTACAAAAGCTCAAAGACATCAATAAACATAAAATGCTCAAGAGATTGAGAGCTGACAGTAAAAAAGCTGCAAAGTAAGCTAGCAACATATTTAAAACTTTGATGACAAGCAGTAAATAAGTCAAGTGAAAACAACGACAGAAGCAAACCAAGTCAGGTGTAAAAAGTGACTTAAAGTTTTGGGTGAAGTAAAAATGCATGGTTTAGTTTTGTTAAACATGCATACCAAAGTAAAATATGTAAAAGGCATCAAGTTTTATTGCACCAAAAAAGCACAGCACAAGTGACAAATTAACTCCAAACCTTCAGAACCTTCAATAACTCAATATCATCTCAAGAAATTTTTTTTTTGATATTTCATTCTCTCCAAATGTAAAGTTAAAATAATTTTTTAGTTATTTTTTTTTAGTTAAATAAAGTTTCTTAAAATAGTAAAAAAAAATAAAAAAAAAAATTAGTTTTTATTCATATGCAAAAAAATTTCAAAACTTTTTTCCTATCAAAAAATAAAAGATTAAAAACTATTACTTTTGACTTTCATTTGGCATTTTGACATAATACTACTCATACAACCTACAACTTTTTAAGTTTTCAGTTATCTTTCTGTGGACATTTTTGTTTTCCCAGGTAAGCTCAAAAACTATGTTGCAAACAAGAAAAAGTAAAAAAACTGAACTAAATCAATTTTGTTTGATCTAAAAGGGATCTTAGCAAAAAAATAATAAATTTAAGAAGGGTTTATGGTCTTTTAGTGATATAAAAATGTTTTAAATATTAGGCTTAATGAGTTAGGGGTAGTGTTAGCCACTCATTTCCGTTGTGTAGAAAAATAGCCTTTAAACTTTTGGTAGAGCTATCTTTAAAATGCTGCTAGTTTGTGCAGCATTTTAAAGTTAGCTCTACCAAAAGATAGCTCTACTTGCGTCAGTAACAAGTGGCAAATAAAAAATGAAACATATGATAAAAAATGATGTTAGTAAGTATCTGGGGTTATTATAAAAAATTCTAATACATAACCTGTAATATAACTACTACATAAAATATTACCTACTACATGAATTGCTTCATAGCTATCTCATTCTCCACGGCCCACAAAATAGCTACTACCTAAGCATGTAGCCTGCTATAACATAGCTGCTACCTGAGCATGTAGCCTGGCTATACAATATGTGTTTACAAATTCAAATAAAATATATTACGTTAATTTTATTTATGTAAAAACAAAAGTTGCAAAAGTAAAAGAAACAATTTAATTAAAAGATAATAATTTAAATGAATTAAATTCATTTGATTAATGATATTTTACAATATCAAATCAACTTGTACATTTTAATTTGATGTCAATAAACATCAAATAAATCTCATTAGGGTTTTTTTTTGTTTGTTTTTTTTTCTCTTTTCATTGTAGTATGGCATATGATCAAAGTCTTTCTTATATCGTTATTTCCCTTCAACCTGAAGTTGTGTTTGTCAGGAAGTCATATTATTTAATAGATCTGCACTGAAGCCTAAACTTGTATCAGAATTGTTTTTTGAATTCCCTTGATAAAAATCAAAGTCATTCAAAAGGCCTAAAATACCACTTCAACCCCAAACAACAACCTAAAATACTCATCAACATCATGGAACTCTTCTGGTGAAAAATTTTGAAAGTTTTGGCCTAGTCCTGTTATCTATGTTCGTAATTTCCATACAGGGTCATTTTCTTTTTCTTCCAAGTTGTTTACAAAATGAATATTTCAAAGAATAGTTTCAAATTTGTTTCTTTCCATTATCGAAAAAACTCCATCATAGGTTATAAATGTTTACCGATATGATTTTTGACTTAGGAGCATTACCAAACCTATCCTGAGATAAGCACTTATAAACTTCTCAATATTCTTTTTTGATATGTTTTATAGTGAACCTTTTGATTGCATGATATAAATATTGCTTTCATTTGTGATGCTGTTCAACTTCACTAACAAACAACTTGAAATATTTAAGATTTTTGTTTCCACATCTGGTGTTGGTCTTACTTTAGGCTCTTTGAAGGTTTCATCATCAAGGGGTTCAAAGTTCTTACTTTTCCAACTGTAAATAATTGGTTTGTTATTGGTGTTAAAAGCTGTCTCTTTAAGACTCTCATACTATATTTGCTAAAGGCTCATTGTCACTGGTTGGTTCACATTCATTCTCTCTTTCTTCTTCAATAGCAGTTTTGACTGCATTATTTTAAATATTAAACTCATTATCACTTTCATCTGTGTCTTGAAAATCACTCTCCCCATCAAATACATAGTTTAAAAAAAAAGAAAAGTTTGAATTAACCAAAGAAATTTGTTGAAAAGGGCAGAATAAATGGTTTAACTTAACAAAGTTTAAGTTAGCCAAAGTACAACTTAACTGGAGAATTTTAATAGAAATTAATTAGACTATTTCAAGAGACCAATTGACACAGTTCAAGATAACAAAAGTTATCTTGAACTGTGAGTTAACTGGTGAGTTCGATTCACCAGTATTTTCCTGTATAATATTAAAAAAGCTAGAAAAGTATATTCAAAACTTTGGAGTACTAAGAAAAACACTTAACTGCAAAGAAAATATTTAGAACCAGGTAAAATGCGTTTCACTAAGTACTTAAAATAATTAAAATTTTATAATTGAAAAAATGTTTTAAGTTTGTTTAAATAAACACAATGAATGTGTGTTATTTTGTTTATTATATATATTTTTTTGATTTTTTAGGTCAAACACAATGGATGTGCATTATTTGGAATTTCTCCTTGAGCCTTTTATTAAACTAAAGTAAGAATTTGTGAATTTTTTAAAACACAATATTTAAAAAGTATTAAGTATTTATAGTGTTATTTATATTTAAGTATCATTTTTTTTTTTTTTTCCATTTTTAATATATAATTTTATGCATAAGAAATTTAAATTTTTATTCTATCTAATTCATCATTTCTAGTATCATCTTTAAATATCAAATTTTTATGAATTTAATTATGAATTATGTTTTATATTGGAGCAGTGAATTGAAGTAAATTGTTTATGCTTTTTAGCAAAAACAAAAAAATTATAATTTTTTATCTTCAATTGTTGAATTTTTCATCTTCAATTGTTGAATTGATCTTCAAAAATAAAACTAAAAAAAAAAAAAGAAAAACCTAATTTCTAACAAAAAAAGTAAAAATTTATTTAAAAAAAGTTTTCAAAAATTCAAATAAAAATTACTACTCAAAACAAATTAAAACCCATATGTCAATATAGAAAGATAAGACCTTAAGAAAGAAAGAAAAATTTAACTAAAAATAACTAAAATTTTTAAAATAGTTAAAAACTTCGTCATATTCTTTTTAAAAAATAAAAAGTAAAATAAAACAAAAATAAAATAATGATAAATATAAATATCATATGATAAGTATAATTATATATATCAAATGATAAATATCAAAATGTAAACAAAAAAAGAAAGAACATTATATTTTGAACGCTTTTTGTTTTACAATAAGATTGTAATGATGCTGACAATACTTTACATCAGATATATCAATTATTAGCTCTAATTTCAAATACAAAAAGCTCTAATTTCAAAAAAATAAATAAAACAAAAGCTCTAATTTCAAATACAAATTTTTTTCTTCATGTCATCTATTCATTTATGCGCATTTTTTTTTTAGAAGAAGAGACAACTAAAAAAAATCAAGACCTAAAATAACCAATAGTGCTAAAAACCTACTTTATTAATTATTTTTACAACTTTATAAGGATGTATGTATGTATGTATGTATGTATGTATGTATGTATGTATGTATGTATGTATGTATGTGTACTAAGGTATTTATGTATATCCGTAAATACTTGACTACAGGGATAGAGAGTCCCAAAAAGGACTCTGGATATGAAAGGCTCAAAAAGATTGCTTCTTCCTAGTTTTTGGTATTCAGGAGCTCTTAAAATATAAATAAGCTTATGAACTACTAATAGGAAAAAAATTAAGACTTTTAGGTAAAAAGAACAATCATTTTTTGAACCCTTAAAAAATGGCCTTAAAAAAAATAAGTTTCAAATGATTAAATCTCGTGAACTTTATACTTATAGCAGATCATAAGTCAACAAACATGTTTAGAGCTTCTGGACACTACAGACTTGGAAAAAGTAGAGATATAAAGCTGGAGTCCTTTTGGGATTCTGCATCGCTGCTTGACTATAAATATATGTTTATGTTCGATATATTTTAAGTTTGATAACTTAAAAAATAAAAAACTAAACGAAGTTTTAATGTTAGTTTTAATTTTTATGTATAGATGTGTTCACATTAATCTTTTTATGTATAGATGTGTTCACATTAATCTTTTTATGTATAGATGTGTTCACATCAATCTTTTTATGTATAGATGTGTTCACATCAATCTTTTTATGTAAAGATGTGTTCACATTAATCTTTTTATGTATAGATGTGTTCACATTAATCTTTTTATGTATAGATGTGTTTACATCAATCTTTTTATGTATAAATGTGTTCACATTAATCTTTTTATGTATAGATGTGTTCACATCAATCTTTTTATCTATAGATGTGTTCACATTAATCTTTTTATGTATAGATGTGTTCACATTAATCTTGGAAGTTTGCAAAGTTTTAAATTAGTAAAGGATTTCCATGATTTTTGTAATGAAAGAAACATTTTTTTACACATAACTACAGAAATGATTGACTTTCAATTTGATCATATACCTGTGATGTTAAATGGAGTTAGCTGTTCTATTGATATTGTAGGTGCTTTCATCTATTTATTTATTTATTTATTTTTTTTACAAAGTTATTAAAAAATAAAAATGATAATAAATATTTTTATAGACTGCAGAAAATATGAAGCAAATCAACAGTTTCAGGTGGAGTGTAAATCTAGTTTTTGAGTGTTATTGCATTGACATATGCAAAATTTTTGTTTATTATAAATAAATGTTTGTAATTTAAAAGATTGAGACAAAAAAACCTTCTCTTTTTTTTTCATCGGTTTTTAATTTATTACATAACTTTTTTAATGCATTTAATAAAATGTTGAGCAAAAGAAAAATTAGTAAACATAAGAAGGAAATAAAATAATCATGGCAACAATAGTAAACATCATGATTAGTTAACCTTCTAAAATGAATAACAAAAAATAAATCTTATTAAAAAGTCTTGTTTATATACATATATATTTTTTCTTTTCCGTTTTTCTTTACAGAATGCAACATAGTTTTACAATTAATGAAGACTCATTGAACATGTAGGTTTTTTCTATATAAGCTTTTATTGAAAAGCATGGGCTGTTTAGTAATATTTTGTTGTTTATTTTTGGTAGGCTATTTCCAAATACTTTATCATTATTACTGAAAACACAACATTTGCTTAACAAGCACTCCTCTGATCATATTGGAACTTTTGTAAAGTTTTCAGTAAAGAATCAAAAAGTATGCAGTTTGACTACATGCCTTCCTCCTTTGCTGATGATTACATCTCTCTCTTGGAACACTCCAACATCTGACATTGTGAGTCATTGAAAATACAATATTTTTTATATAAAGAAAAAAATAATTTATTTCTATGAAGTTAATAATTTTAAAAGTGAAGAGTACTTTTCCAGTGTGATTGATAACCTTATTTTTAGAGTGAAGAATACTTGTCCAGTGTTATTGATAACCTTATATATGATGACAATGCTGATGGTATTGGTCAGTTATATATGTTGATAGGGAAGAATTTTCCGATATTTAAGAACTTTGCAAAACCCAAATCATTAATTGATGAGTTTTTAGAGACAAATGCTATAAGTTGTAATCATTTTGATGCTGATAGTTTGCAGGTATGTTTTGTATTTAAAGGTTTAACACCTATTATGCGTATTTATTATGCAATTATGTTGTCTGCTGTGAAAATCCACAATAAAAAACTTGTTTAATAAGAAATATATTAGCTGCTTTAGTACTTCTACTAATAAAATGGTCTATAATAAAAAATCATTATGAAAAATGGTCTTCGTAATATACTTATTTGTTACTTTTTTTGTGGTCTGGAAAAATTTGTTTAGTATTTAAAAAACTACTCTTATTACAAGTTATGATTAATATAAAAAGTTATAGCTTTGTGCTATCTTGTTGTATGTATATTAATGTGACCAGTTACCAATTTGGTCCTCAAATTTATTTTATTTTAGGTTTTCACCTTCTTTTTTTTTTAAATATCCTAACAAATAAGTGGAGTTTACTACTAAATAATACAAATTTAAAAAAATGTTTTAATGTTATCTATTAAATCTTTTAGGATTATAAAAAAGATGTTACCTAGTGACACACTACTCTGTAAGTGTTATTTACAGAATCTGTAACATGACACAGAATGCATGTGTAAAATAAAATAACACATTTTAATTATAAGAGGGATAGAATGTGTAAAATAAAAGTTTTTGAAAAAAAGTTTAACTTGATGGAACAGCAAATGAAATAATTTCCTTTCCTTACTTGAATGTTTAACCAAAAAATGTAACAAACAGAAAAACTCGTGCACAAAGTATACCATCCTTTCTTACATTTTCTTTAAAATAAAGTTTCATTCGGAAACAAAGTTGTTGGAATTTTTACAACTAAAAAAATATAACTCAAAAAGTTGTTTTTATAAATAAAAAACAAAGTTATTCTTATAAATAATTCTAATATAATTTGTTGTAAAAAATTAGCACCACTTGATTTGTTTTAGAGAATTGAATTTACTTGATTTTATGTAGACAGCTTTGATTTTTTCATCCAAGTTAATTTAGATTTAATTGCAGTAAGCTTAATGAAATTAAACGTTACAGACAAAGTACTATAATAACTCAAGTAATCTCAGGTTTAAGATGTTTAAACAATTTTTAGTTTATATCAAAATTATCAAGATATTATATTTGTTTATTATTTATGTTAAACTGAAGATAAAATTTTTTTTAGGTATTGTTATTTTTGTTAGTTAGGTTTTTGTGAAGATACTTTACATAAAGTTATAATTACATGGTATGATGCTTGTATTTCATTATTAATTATGAAAGGCTTTGCTATATTTTCCTAAACTTTTTATATATTATGCTATACTTGTTATATATTATGCTATAAAGTTTAGTTGGATAATAATTAAATTTTCTACAATATTAAAAGATGCAATCTACTAAATTTCTCTACACAAAATCAAATCACTTAACTACAACTGTAACCAAATAAAAAAATGTATAACTGAGACTATAATATAATTACAAGTTTATAAGTGATATTGATGTGCTGTTTGCCAATCAGGTTTCATTTATGAAAGTTGGTTATTATGTTGTATTTTCTGCTATGTATCTATTAAAGTTGTTAATTTATGCAGTAGTGGTACAGTGGTAGACTTGCTTTGTAAGCAAGAAGCTTTGAGTTTGATTCCTTCCTTGTTCCTGGTAGTACAGCACTTAACTTATTTTGTAGCAGCTTGTGAGAGTTAACTTGTTTGTCAAAGCTTGTGTTGTTAGAAGGTTAAGATAAGGAAAAGAGTCAAAGCTTGTGTTGTTAGAAGGTTAAGATAAGGAAAACTCCAAGTAGTTTTCTTGACTGTAGTGACCCCCTTGGCCTAGTGGAGGTAAATACATTTAAAAAATAATAATAAATTGAAGAATAGATAAGTTTATAGGTTATTCAATTAAATTAATTTATTACAACTTAATTACAACATAATTATTATAAATATTTAAATAAGTTGAATTTTTAAAGTTAAATTTTTTAAAGCCTAGTAGATGTAACTCTAAGTAATGTTCTCTATTAAGCAACTTTTAATGTTCTATCTATATAATGATGTATCTCTATAATTCTTAGTTTTGTATCTTTTAATGTTGTATCTGTATATAGTGTTATTACTGAATGTAATAACACTATATAAAGGTACAACATTAAAAGTATTTTAGTTCCATGAAGGATGGAACATTATATAACTTAACTGTTCCATTTAATATGGTAGCTTCATGTAACTTTGTAAATGTAGGATAGCACTATCCTGTTATAAATATCAACTCTTTAATATTTTCATTTTAAGAAACATTTTAACTTTATTTAATGAATAATATGTTTCAGGTGGTTTGTAAATCTATTGTCAAAATGAAGAACTATATTAAAAATATTAAACTGGGCTCTAGTCTTTCTAATATGGTTGTTGAAGAAACACTTATTCTATGTGAACTTATTTATTTTGTTTGCAGGTTTGATTGTTTGTTTGTTATATATATATATATATATATATATATATATATATATATATATATATATATATATATATATATATATATATATATATATATATATATATATATATAGAATATTTTGTAATTTTTTATTAACTTAATGAAAGCTTGGGTATCTTACTATGAAATCTATTTTATTCTTTATCATATCGGTTTCATACTTTTACTAATTTATTTTTTTTTAAATTATGTTAAATTTTTAAATTATTCTTTGTTTAGAGTTTTCTTTTGTATACTAAATGCTGCATCTAAAATTGACATACCTGATGTCACTAACCTTCCACTTACTCAACGAAGTGACACTGCAAACAAGTAGGTAGTTGTTGCTATAGTTATAGCATAGATTATTTAAATATAAAATTTATTTAAAAATGTATCATGCAGTCAATTTTTTTTTTTTTTTTTTTTTTTTTTTTTTTTTTTTTTTTTTTTTTTTTTTTTTTTGCTAAATAAACTTTATTTATTGGTAAAAGTTCATTTCCAAATGTCTTAAAATATGCGCAATTAAATGAATAAAATATTAAATGAAGATTAAAAAATTAAATTAATAAAAAATATTAAATAAAGTTGCTCACTACAGTGGTTTTATAACTTTTATAATATATAGTAACCATCTTTAGATAAATATTTAATTAAATATAATAATATAAGATATGACTTCAGAAAAGACCTATTTTCAAGAAGATTGGTTACAACACCATATTTATAAAAATTGGTTAGTTCCTGACGCTCATGCAAAAACTAAAGCTCAAAAGGTGTAAAAAAATCATTTGAATTGTCTAATATGGGTTAAAATGGCGGTTAAAAGTCATGCTGCAGGTATTTATATAAACTTTTTTAATGTAAGAGTGAAAATTAAAAAGAAATAATATTTGATTAGTTCTTAATTTTATATTATAGTTTTTAATAGATTGTAATGAACCTGGTTGCTGTTATTGTTTTCACATTACTATTTCAAGTTTTGCAAGTTCAACTGACTGTGACAAAAAAGAAAACAATAAAATGATAGACAATTTTGAAACCTAAATGTTTAATCTTTTAATTATCTTGTTTTAGGTAAAAAGCACCAATCCACTGCAAAGCTTGTTCACTGTTTCTTTGTTAATTGAAAAGAGTTGTGAACTGAGCCACTTAAATATGAAGAAAAAAATACGACATTTTCTATCAAAAAAACAAATAACTATTGATTCCTCAATTAAATCATCCTTATAAACTAACGCTGAGATCATATGGGCACTTAAATCTACAATGAGCTGCTACTCTAATAATTCATGTGCTAATTTAAACAACACTTTTAAAAAGATGTTTCCTGACATCAAGATAGCAGAAGATTTTACCATGAATTTCAGAAAAGTATCATACTTAACCATGGACTAGTGCCATACTTTAAAACACTCTTAAAAGAAGATTTTACAAAATCACATTGTTACATCGTATCTTTTGACGAGAGTTTAAACGACATAAACATGTCAGGTGGACCTACTCGTTCAATATTGAAATGCCAATGACAAATTCAAATTACAATATTGGACATCAGTTTTTCTTGGTCATTCTACAGCTTCTGACCTTCTTACTCATTTCAATGAAAACTTATCAAGATTTGAATTAAGTAAAATGTTTCAAGTTTCCATGGATGAACCCTCTACAAATTGGAAATTTTTTGATGATCTAAATAAACACAGAAAGAACAACAAGGTACCACAGCTTATAAATATTGGAAGTTACTCCTTGCATGTAATTCATGGTGCCTTTAAAGCAGCTATTGAATCAACCACACGGAATATTAAAGAAACTCTGAAAGGCTGTTGGCAAATTCTTCATGGCAGCCCGGCTAGGCGTCAAGATTATGAAACAGTCACAGATGCATAAAAATACGCTCTTTTCTTTTGTGCAACAAGGTGGGTTGAATGCAAATATGCTACAGATCGTGGCATTGAAATCTGGCCTAATATATGCAAGTTATTTGAGTTTTAGGAAAAGTTACTATCTTCAAAGCAATCCCAATCAAAAAGCTTTTTAATTATCAAAAAAGCAAAGTTAAACTTATTCTTTTAAAATTTGAAATTTTCTTTGTTTCCAGCATATTAGAGCCATATTTATTGGCATACCAAACTGAAAAGCCAATGACTCCATTTATGTATAGTGACTTATAGTGAATAACTGTTGTGGATAATACTGAGCTTGTTTGTGAAAAACAAAGTTATTGATAATTGGTCTATACCAGAACTTGACTTTCATAAAAAAGATAATCTACTTATAGTAAATCAAATCAAACTAGGATTTGCAGCTGAAACAAGATTAGCTTCTTTACAAAAGAATGATATAATAACAATTACTGATATTCAAAACTTCCAAAAAGATTGCACTAACATGTATGTACAATTATTTGAAAAGTTCATGGAGCAAACTCCATTAGGATCTATCATTGTACGCAATTCTCAGGTTTTTAACCCTTATGCATTGATTACAATGATTCCAAAAAACACTGAAAAAATTTTCAAATCTTTATTGAATAACTTGATTAGCTTAAGGTATCTTTCGCCTGTCTTTTCTGATAAAGCTATAAATCAATTTACCAATTTCTTTAGTTGAGAATCTAGGGTTTATCAAAACAATTTTCACGAATTCAATAGAGATAGTTAAGATGATTTATATTTTAAAAAGTGCAATCTAAATAATTATAATGAGCTGACATCAACTGTCGAAATACTTTTGACAAAATACTTTTGAGTCAGTTTAGAGAGGTTTTATTATAAATGCTGCAATACTCAAACAAAATTTGAATGAAAAACCAATAACTGCAAAGCGTTTAGTTAAAGATCATACGCTATCAAATAATCTTCAGCCACATAATATTGAAATTACAAACAAAATGATAATCAATGTAAAATCATCCCATGAAAGATATAGAAGCTACCTAGATTCAATAACAGACATTAATAAAAAAGAAACGAGTCAATTGGTAAGGAATATTGTTAGTGATGAAAAAAGATGTTGAAACAAGACTTAACTGAAGAAAACCAGTGAAATGTTTTCTTCAGTTAATATTGCAGTTTGATTTTTTAAAAATTTGTTGAGGAAGCCAAAGAGAAGCAAGATCTGAGGCTAATTTCTAAAGCTAATGCTATAAAACGAAAATCAAATGCTATGAAACGAAAATCAAATGCTATGAAACGAAAATCAAATGCTATGAAACGAAAATCAAATGCTATAAAACGAAAATCAAATGCTATGAAACGAAAATCAAATGAGAAAAATGAAGAAATTAAGAAATTAGAAATAGCATTTCGTATCTTAGAGCAAAAGAGAAAGTTACTAAAATAACTTTATATAGATTAGTTCTCATATAAAGTTTATATTTTGTTAAAACACATTACTTTGTTCAAAATATTTTTTGAAAAAACTTCATTTTATTTTTCTAATAAAAGAATAAAAAAAAGGAATTATCAATAAATTGCATAGAAAGATTAAATGATAGATACAAATTGTTATTTATTAAATATATTTTTATATTTATTGAACTTTTATGGCTTTGTTTCCTTATTAAACTACTTTTTATTTCTTAAAACACGTCCTTTAACAGATTGCTATCAGTTAATTAACAGATTGCTATCAGTTAATTAAGGAGAAGTATCTAATATCTTTAAAAATTCTGATAAAAATATTAGGGGAACATGGATTCAGTTGTGAAAGTATTATATTCTTCAACATTAACAAGAAAAATTATATACTTTTTACCACCCAAACTCAGGCAAAAAGTACTTGAAATCGGGTGAAAATCAGGGAAAACTCAGGGGAAATGGATTTCTAAAACTGCCATGAACCCTGTTTAATTGAGTCAGTGAAAAGAAGAACAATACTAGCCCAATATTTTCATTTCGAGATAATCAATGTTTAAGTTTTAAACAGTTATAGTTTATAAACTATTTATCTACTTTATCGCAAAAAATAATGAAAGAAAGATGGACTAGTATTATTTTTGCATTACATAAAAAGATCGACATAAGTTTAATAAAATTATGAAAAAGATCGACATAAGTTAAATGAAATTATAAAACAAAAATAACAAAAAATGGACTAGTACTGTTCTTCTTCTCACCAATTCAACTATAGTGATCTTACTATAGTGATTCAACTATAGTGATTCAACTATAGTGATTCAACTATAGTGATTCAACTATAGTGATGTTAAAAATCAGAATTAAATGTCAAAAGTTGAAATATCTAGGATAGAATGTTGGAGTAATTTTTAAATGTTCTCAAGAGATCTTATTTAAATAATTATTTTGAGAATTTTACATGGAACATGTAAATCAAATAACATAAAAATAACACTGAATAGCTTACAAATTATTATAATTACAAACAGTTAAAAAAAATGAATAGAAACCAGCATTACAAAGATAAAAATAAGATAAAATTAACTTCTAGTGATAGCCAAAAAATATATTGCATAATTCCAGCAATATTTAATTGTAGTTTAGATAATATACTTTTGTACTACTAGTGTAGCTAGTTAGAAATAGTTCAAAACACCATGCACCATGGTTTAGTTTTATACTCAGTAAATTATCCACACGGCTTGTATATTCAAAGCCTCAAGCAAGAAAATGTAATAGACTTAATTCCTTAGCCAATGCAATCACCGAAATTGAATCCGATCGATTTTATTTTAACATCAAAGGACAGAATTACCAAAAAAAATCCATAAATAGTCTAGAGCAACAACTAAATACAATTTGGAAAAGATTTCCAACCGTAATTTTAATCTTGTTAAAATGGGTAAGCTCTCTTATCTAACCTCTATTCCGACGGTCTTCTTTAAGTCCGCAAACATAAAAAAGATTAATTTTTCAGTTTAAGACAACCTGCTCAAGCTCAAACCCTTAGTCGATGTATGCACACTCACTGTGCCTATGGCTATCTAAATCAGTCGATGTATGTACACTGCGATGCGCCTATCCCTATATATTCCAATTTGCCTATCCCCTAAAAATCTCGGTTTTCAGACGTCAAGGATGCACAACGTTGGAATAGAGGTTTAAAAAGAGAGACAACTGTTAAAATGGTGCAAAATAGTTGTACAATTCATAAGATTGTACAAAAAACAAAATGGTTATTTACAAGAAAACAAATTAATACTAGTTTACTACAATACTAGTTTTAATGTAAATTTTTATTGCGTCATTTTTTTGAGCAACGTTTGGAACGTTTTTATAGTTTTAATATGATATTCATAATGATAGATTTGTTTAACGACAACATCAAAAAAATTTAATTATAAAATTTATGTTTTTAGTTTTTTTGGTATCAGAATGTTTTCAATGTCTTTTTTTTTTAAATCATTGAATGTATAGCATATTGTATATAATTTTATTCAAGGTTGATTTCGTTAATGCAGAATCATGAAAGTTACGTTAAAAAGTATTATTTTTGTCCTCCTTCTGGTTTTACTAGCATCCGTCTTTTAAAACAATTACTTGATAAACTTCTTTCAGCGGGTCTTGCTCCGTCAACTCCAACCAATACGATAAATATATAGTTGTTTTTTTTAATTTTTTATTTATTCACTTTTATAAACAGTTTTTTTAATCAATGTATTTATAATTTATTTTTTTTTTTACTTTTCGGTTGGGTTTTTGCATTTCTTTTGAACTTAGGACTTTTTTATTTATTTATTGCAGATTTTCAAACTGCTGACTTTTAGTATTTACAGTTTTTGTTTTGATCTAAGTATTTTTGGTGTCAAGTTTTACTCGTTCAAATGTTTTTGTTTATAACCAGCTTTTCAAGTTAAATGTTTTATTTATTTTCCACCGAATATATATATTTTTTTCTCGCCAAACGTTAATGTATTTTTTAAGCGCAATATTTAATTGTTAAATTGTTTTTTTAATTTTTTTTTTTTTTTTTTTTTTTTTTTTCTTCGCTTGTAAATAATTTTTTTCACAATAAATCATTTGTTTTGTTTGGAATTTAATGTAATTAATCGAGTCAGGTAAATAACCCGGCACTGTAATATTGTTAAGAGCGAGAATTAGTTTGGCGAAGTTATATGCTGGAAGAATTTTAGTTCATTTAAATTGAATATAAGTTTTTTAGTTTAATTTTGTTTAGTTTGAATAATGAATAATGTGCCTCTCTCATTTTCTGATTGCCACTGATAGTAAAGATTGTGTGTTGTTCAACACATTTAAAAGCCATCTTGTTTTTAATTATGTTCGTTTTTTACTTATAAACAATCTTGTCTTGTTAGGGGACATCCATAAAGTACGTACGCGTAAAATCACTGATATGGGACCCCCTCCTCCTTGTACGAACCTGTACGCTTCTGAAGACCCCTCCCTCCGCGTACGTACCTATTATATAGTTTTTTCAAAATTAACTCGATTTTTTTTTTTTCATTATTTATAAAGAAATAAAATTAATAAAATGAAGTCAGAGAAAAAACAATTCAGATTTGCTACACACGTGAAATTCAATGTTTGGTAATTTTGAAATTCGATGGGGTGGTACCCCAAGAAATAAAGGTCAATTTTGAAAAAAAAATATTTTTAATTTGGTTCGTTATTTCTTTTTTTACAGAATACAAAAACTTTTAATGCAAAATTTTAACTTTGAGTAATAATAATTTGGGTTTATTTATCAAACCAGTAGTTTGTAATGTCCAAAACAACGCCATAGCAACCAATATATAGTTGGTGAAATAGTAACTTTTTAAATAATTATGCAAAAGTGCTGAAAGTTTCACAGATTGTTTTACATATTATTAAAATTTATTTGAAAAAAGATTTTGATTCAATACATTCCCTGTGGGAAATGAGCTAGCGACTAGCTAGCTTTATAGCGACTTTCAAGCGATTTTTTTAATTTAATTTTATTCTTCACTAATGTCTCTAACATCTTTAAAAATTCGATTTTAGGGTTGAGTCTATTATAATTATGAGAATAATTGAACTTTAAACATTGCGATTTTGTAGCAATGTGTACATATCGTAGACTTGTAACTAGCTACAAAATATCTACAAATCTATAGCTGGTTGATAGCTACATACCAAAAATTTTTTGATAGCGATTTTATTACGATATAACGGTAGCTACAATAGCCTGTGAGTTTTTAGCTTATTAAGCTAGCTGTCCTCGTAGCCAAATCGCTGTCTTTATCTTTACAAATATCGATAGCTTTTTTGCTAACTTAAAAAAGCTAGCGATCCTCGTGGCCAAATCGCTGTCTTTATTGTAACGATTATAGCTAGCTAATCGCAAGCCGATTTCCCACCGGGTTTTAGATCTTAAAATTTTGTTATTTTAGTGTTGTTAAACTCGCTTACTTTTTAGTGTTTCATGCATAATTTTTAAAATATTCATATTGTTTTCATTTATTTTCTCTCAAATGAGTTATGTTACCATGAATAAAAAATGTTCCGAATTTCATACTAAAATGACCAGTAGATTTTGAGTAATTACCTCACAAAAATTCAGTTGTTTTTAATTTTTTGGGGTAATCAAGGCAAAGATTTTTAAGTTTGGTAGCGTATTTGAAAATTATTTTAAATTATGTATTTATATTGTAAAAATGAAAGTGTGCTCTAGTTCCTATTAGATTTTAATTTATTTCTTGGGGTAAAAAAACCTTAAAAAAAATTAAATCATGTTTAGGAGAGATAGTCAAACCGCGTACGTTCTCACTGTCTTTAACACTCCTCCCACCCCCTCCTTGTGTGTGTTCATACGCTTTTAGGAAACCCCCTTCCCCATACCTGCGTACGTACTTTATGGCCCTTTCACACTCGCGGAAAGTGTAGAGTTTTCCTCCACACCGGTGTGTAGCTTTAACTCTTAGACACAAGTGTGGAGTTATTTTGCACATTTTTGTGGAATAAACTCCACACTTCTGTGCAGAAGTCTAGTTAGAAAAAGTTAATTTCCACAAAAGTGTGCAAAATAACTCCACACTTGTGTCTAGAAGGGATAGCTACACACCGGTGTGGAGTAAAACTCCACACTTTCCACGAGCGTGTTACAAAAATTAATAATTATATATATATAATTTAAAAAAACAACTTGTGACTTTTATCAACAATATATGATTATTAAATAAAACGTAACAATAAAAAAAATGTAATGTGTGACTTTTGTTAATAATTAGCCAAACCAATTAATAACGCAAATCGAAATCATTACATCTCTCCCAGCTCATACATAATCGCATAGGCGCCCGCAGGATTTTTTGATGATTCTTATACAAAACTTTCACGCATTGTGATAACTCCAAACTTAAGTATGTTCATACCTAAACCAAATGAGAAAGCCTTGAAAAAAATTGAGGCGGTAGAGGCCTGGGAACAAAAAAGCCCTAAAACGTTTGCCTATCCTACTCCGTTTGTACATCTTTTTATAGCTGCATAGAAGTCTTAACCAATCAGCAACTGGTAGATTAGTAAACAGATTTTTTCCAAAATATTCAGATGTTTTTACATGAAGACATCATATTTTAAATGTGCCACCAGCTTTCTTCTATTTCTATTGGTTGCTAATGTATCTTCTCGTTGATTTTGAAAATGCAGAACTTTGATGAAAAACATGCCTTATTATTGAAACCATTATCACTAGTGCTAAATTCAGACCGAATCCTTTACGTGTTAGCGCATATTTACAATTTTAATAGATGACAGTTTGGTAAGGCTAACGCCTTTTATCCACATGAATTTGTAGATATGTTCGTCTGAGGTCCGTCACCGAGTCATTGCTATTTTTACTTATGAGTCTCCGATTCAAAAATAGATATGACACAAAAGGAGAAGGGAACTTTAAACTACCATTTAAAAAACAAACCTCTACCGCTTTTCTTTTTCATATTATGGTCCTTATCTTTACAACAAAGTGATATCCTAAAATATCAAACTTACAAAACCTGAATTCTCTTCTTAAACACAGATAGTTTTATGCACTTTTATTAATCAAAAAAAAACAACGTAAAACCAATAAAAGAAAATAAAAACATTTAATAATATTTATAACTACAAAAAAAGAAAAACAAATAGGAAAATTTTGCCTACATTTATCAAGTTTATTTATACATATGTGAGGTATATATATCCAATATAGTAAATCATGTACCAACATATTTATGTGTATCCAAGTAAAATATTTGTTTAAGATTAGCAATTTTTTTTGCATTATTTTTATTCTTCTTAAATTCTTTTTATTTTTATGCTATTTAATCTTTCAATAAACTGAGAACATTATTTAGTTTATAATCATGAACTAATTGATAGTATAAGGTAGTATACAAAATATATGTAATAATGTAGAGCGGTTTCTTGATGACAAGACCATCAGTCTTGTCATCAAGAAACCGCTCGCTCGTGCAAGTTTTCCGTGTTTTTTAAATAATCATGAATCGTTGCAATTTTTTATTTTGTTTTTTTTTTTTTTTTTTATCCATTCATTTATTTCTTTGTTAAAAACGTTATAATTGTTAATCAGGTATGTTATACTGACTTGTTCGGTTTTTCATGTTGGGTTCGTTTTCCCATTCCTAATTTACAATCCATTTTTCGCTATCAAAATAATATTTGCTTGTTCTAATTCAATTGTTGCAATGGGGGAGCCAATTACAACTTACAGGTTTATTCATTCTTATATCCGCATCTTTTCATTTTTATATGCATATCTTTTCATTTTTATATGTGTATTTATTTATTCTTATACGAGTGTTTATTCATTCTTATACGCGCGTTTATATGCGAGTCAACTACCCATAAAATCTCTAATATAATTTTATATAAACAATATATAAGATTTTATGTTTTTATATAGATATATTTAAAATATAAATTAGGTCGTTGCTACTGCTGTTTATTTAAAAAATGGTTGCCGAGCCAGCGCTGACTTTATGTAAGTACGCATATGGTTGTAAAATGAAATTAAATTAAACTCTGTAGTATCCATAATATTTTTAGATTTTCTGATTACCCCATCCGTATTTCGAAGCCTTTCTCCATGTTTGTAAAGTATGCTTTGAAAAAAGGAAAAAAAATTCTTCTATTGGATTAAGCTGTGGCGTGTATGTAGACAGATACTTAACAGCTGTTACATGAGAGGCTAGTGTTTGCCGAACAGAAAGAATACAGTGAAATTTACAATGTCCAATACAAGCACTGGCGCTTTCACATCTGCATTTCTAATCGCTGGCGTCAACATTGTAGTAATGAAAGTACAAAATGAATCTGCATTCCACCCTCACGTTCTTATTTCATAAGCTAGCACTTCTATTGTTGAAACAGTACTAATCAAACTAACATTCGATTTGCAGACGACTCTAAAATTGCTTGTGCATATATATATATATATATATATATATATATATATATATATATATATATATATATATATATATATATATATATATATATATATATATATATATATATATATATATATATATATATATATATATATATATATATATATATATATATATATATATATATATATATATATATATATATATATATATATGTATATATATATATATATATATATGTATATATATATATATATGTATATATATATATATATATATATATATATATATATATATATATATATATAATATATATATATATATATATATATATATATATATATATATATATATATATATATATAATGATCGTTATTAAATAATAAAAGTACGCGGGAACTCGTAGAAGATCATACGGTCTTGTCGTCGAGTACCGCTAAGAAATGTTTGTGTTAAAATTTATAAGATATTTACAAGGTAAAAATAAGTTAACGAAGTAAGAAACTTAAAATATTCCATTA